TAAGTGTCTGAGGACAGACCCAGGGACCCACCTCTGCTTATTAGCTTGTGACAGGCTAGTCAGTGTCACCTTTTGGGGCCTCAGTTTCTGTCCTGTCAAGGGGAGGTAGATAATGACCACTGCCCTTTTGGGAAGATGAGGTTCACGTGTGATAAGACCTTTGTCAGCTCTCCCACTAACTCGGAAGGCAAGGATGTGTTCCGTTCACTTATACACCCCCAGCGCCAAACATGGTACCTGGTAAACTCCGATGTTTGTTGACTGAACACATGAAAAGATGATACAGTGAAGTGTATAAGACACGGGAAATCCTGAATCGTGAACTTACCAAGAACTTGTTCAACCAAGAAAAAGCAGATTTCTGCACGTGCCCTCATACCTACCCACATTTAGGGTAAAAATGGAATGGGCTAGTGTTTGTGAGGAACCATTTTAGAATGAAAACTAATAGCAGGGGTACCGCTTTCAACCTTCCCTGTCTTATCAGCTGGGGCTATGAAGCGGGGCAGGCTGTTACTTACGTGACCCGTCCATTATGGATTCATTGTCACCTCCAGGAAACTAAAGTCCATCTCACACACTGGAAAGTATTTTCATCACCGTCTGAGACAAATGCCTCTCCAAGTTTTGGATCTCAGGGCCTTTTCCTCCTGGAATTTCTTTGTCTCCTATTTTTCTGTTCCTATGCTCCAGAGAACTGGCTTGGAAGTCAGATCCCTCTAGTTTTAATCCTGGCTCCACCACCCTCTGACCGCTTGGCCTCGGTTTAGTCATGGAACCTCCCTGGGCCTCAGTTTCTTTGTCTGTGGAGTACGGATGTGTGGTTGCCATGAGCAAATGTGCACCTCATAGGCCTCCAGCTGGAGGGAGTGTCGTTGCCCAAGAGCTGGAGCTGCTGCTGTGGAATCCACTGTGGGCTTGTCCCAACCAATGACTGGGTGCAGCAGGGCCCCTACGGCAGGTGTCTTCCTGGGAATCCTCAGATGGCCGGCAGACTTTGGCTCAAGAACTTCTTGACGGCCATGTTGAACCTTCCTTAGGCTGCAGGTGGTCTAGGATGCTTATGTCCATCCTTCCCCTCCTCTCTCCTTTAGCCGGGGCCACACTCACAAGGGGTCTGTTGGCTATTTCCCCCATTGAATTCCATGCACAAAATCTGCTCTTGGTGTCTGCTTCTGGGAGGACCTGGATGCATGCAGGGTAGGCGTCCCTTGTGGTGAGGACTGAATGCAACAATGTAAGCAAAGTGTTTATTGGAGCATCTGGCACAAAGTAAGCGACCAGTATGTAGTGGGACGTCCTGTAACCTTCACCACGACTGTAGCCACCATCACCTGGCCATTGGGCTTCTTTGCCGGCTTCAGGCACAGAGAGCTCCAGCGGCATCCCCGGTCACAGGGTAACTTTGTGTTAGAGTGAGAGCAACTATGGTCGGTGAGCAGGAGAAACGGACTCATCGAAACACCCTTTAAAAAATTATCCCATTAAACCAAATTCTTCTCCAGCCAATGAAATCTGCAGCCATCTTTGGTAAGGCAACCAACTCCATTTTTAGTCCAATGCACAAAAGATTTGTAATATTCTGAGGTATACCCTGCTGGTATTCTTAATATCTACAAATACACTCCGGTTAGTAAACCAGGACAGCTCATTTGCTGTTCCTGAGAACACTGTGAGAGTAAAAAAATTGGCCATCGTTATTTATATTTTTCAGATAAGGAAACAGAGATACTAAGTGGGAGTTTCAAGGCCACCCAGATGCTCACAGGTTTGGGACTGAAACTCTGGTTTTTGCTGCTGGTGCTTTGGAAACTCAGGGACTGGAAGAATCTGTTCAAGCTCTGTTCCCAAGGACAGTCTCTTAGCAAACGGACATCATGAACTGGCCTGAAAAGATCTTCCTCAAGTCCAATTCTGCCCAGACTTAGGTTCTAGAAGCCCTGGGACCACCCACGATGCAGGAGTTGGTGAAGGAGACCCAGCTGCAACTGGCCTCCATGTTCAGGGCCATCATTTGTCATGAAGTGAGGCTTTATCCTATTGGTTGTTCCCTGAGGCTGTGGAGTATGTTCCCTAAGTAGATTGTCACTGCCCCCACTCCCAGCTGGGAGGGACTGTGACGCATCCTCACCACCACAGGTCCTCGAGCCCATTTGGTGCTAAATAAATGCTTGTTGTTGTGGATGGTGGTGATTCTGATGGAGCTTTGTTTATAGTGTGAAGGAATTATCAGCAATAACAACAACAGAAAACAAATATTTGCTCTATGCTAGGCATTATGCCAAGGTATTCAAATCCAATGATTAAAAGACAAGCTTTCTGACTCCAAGGAGTTTAAAGGCTCGTGGGGAGACAGCCGTGCCCAGTCTGCCTAGAGAGTCCGGGACCACGTCACAGGGGAGGCACTTTGAGACGAGACTGAGGAGGATGGGTGTTTCCCAGGCAGATGCGGGTGGGGAGGGGGCCTCTGGCCCAGGTATGAAGGCATGGAGGTGTGAACAGAGCTCTGCTGTGTGGGAGGGACTGCTGTTCGGTCTTGCTGGAAAGTCAAGTTGTTTTGCACTTAACACTACTCATCCACATTGTATGCATGGCTTGGATATGCCAACATTTCTTCCTTCCATTTTTCATTCATTTCATCAACCATCCTTGATCGGCCTCCAACTGCATGCCAGGCATTATACAGGACACTGGGATACAAAGGTGACAGAGGAGACACAGTGCCTGCCCCCCTGGAGCTCTTAAGTTGAATGGCAGGTAGACAGTCTCTATCAACAGCACAGTGCAGTGGATGTGGGCCAAGGGAGACTAATCTAGTGGGGGTGTATTAGTTCCTGTTGCTGCTGAAACAAATCGTTACATGTGTAGTTTCTTAAAACAAAACAGATTTATCATTTTTGTGGTTTGGGAGGTCACAAGTTAAAATCTGTCTCATTGGGAGGCACTTAAGATACAGGCTGGGCTGGATCCTTCTGGAGGCTCCAGAGAAGACGCTGTGTTTTGCCTTTCCAGCTTCTAGAGGCAGGCTGCCTGCATCCCATGGCTTGTGGCTACTCACTCTGACCTTACACCTCTTTCTTTTTCTGGCCCTCTTGCCTTCCTCTTCTAAGGACACTTAAACTGAGCTCAGATAATCCAGGAACATCTCCCTTTCTCTAGATCCTCAATTGAATTACATCTGCAAAGCCTCTTTTGCCATGTAAGGTCATATAGGCACAGGTCCTAGAGATGAAGATGTGGACATCGCTGGGGCCATTATTCTGGAGACCACAGAGGGAACAGGGGAGAGGTGCTCCCAGAAGTGCTATTTAACCCCTGACTTATGGGTCAGCAGAGGAGTGAAAGTGGAGGCAAGAAAGTCACCTAGGAGGCTGCTGGATTGGTTCCGGCCAGATGTGATGGTGGCCTGGATGGGGCTGGTGGCCATGGTACGGTGAGAGTGCCAGGGATTGAGATAAAACAGCCAGGAGGTCGAATGGATGGGGAACGCGGGCAAGGCTGGAGGAAAGCCTGGACAAGGCTCGTCCTCTCAGGGTCCAGGGCAAGTAGGGACTTGAATGTAGCGTCTCCAGGGAAGCATCGGCAAGATCATAATCCCCAGGGTGCCGATACTAATTCTTAAATCTTTCAGTCAGAGATTCAGAGAGTTCTCTGTTCGGGCAGGTTAGAAGGGGATGTAACATTTAGTGCTTTTATTTGCTAGAATTATATACAATAAAGGCTGATGCTCAGCTTGGCTTCCAAAGAGAAAAACTGATTTTGAGGCTCGTGGAGAAAAGGCTGGTGTACAGACCTAGACAACTGGGTGCGGTCACCCCTCTGACTAGGTGCTGTCAGGGTCCTTGGTGTTTAGAACAAGGAGTGACGTTCCTGCGCTGGTATGTACCTTGAGTTTCCCAAGGCAGAGATCGAGCAGTTTGGCTTTCACAAGTGAGATTGTTTGCCCCGCTGAGGGAATTATGTCTGTCATCTCCGGATACCTTATTTACACAAAGGTCAGACTGTGTCCCCACAGAAGCTACAATAAGTATCTGTAAAATAAAGGAGAACAAAGATCAGAGTGAAATGGCCGTTTTCTGAAATGCATGATAATATTATGTGGGCAACACTACCCTGAACTTCCTGCCATTCCAGGAATGACTCTGCTTCATTCATTTATTTCCAAGGTGACAAAGCTGCTCTCTCAGAAACCAGGGACCTCTGAGAATTCCATGTGTTCTGAGAACCAGGGGAAATGTCCTTTCCAATGGCTTCTTACTAGAGCAAAGTAGAAGAAAAAAAATGATCACTAACAGATCTGGCATGATTATACCTGCGTCATCACATTTTTTTGTTGTTGTTGTTGAGCGATAATGTTTAGGAAGCATTTTGTCATTCTTATTTTTTCCAAAGAACCAAGTTAATTGGCATAAAACATCACTCATTGCTTCCTTCTTTCATTGTGGCCAGCTTTCTCATTCCTCACCTTGAGTAGCCTTCAGACACCCGGACCCTCTTTGCTGTGTCTTATTTTTGACTCATTTTCCATATGGCAAGCTTATACTTCTTTCCTTTGTCTTGTGACCACAGCCCTTCATGTCAGGGCTTGTTGGCTGTTCATCTCCTCTCTGCTGTTTGGTATCACTTAGCCCTCAGCACTTGGACAGAGTAGCTGGGTAGCCACCTCTTATTTATTTCCTTTCCATGTGGAACAATATGTTTTTCAAATATGGTGCTCTGTCATGTATCTTATATATTGTTTAAACAAGGAACCTGAGGGCAAACACAAATGATAACAGAGTCCTGGCTTCAGATTTGGATCCTTGTTGGAGAATAATACAAGTATTTCACATTCAATTAATAACTTTTTTTTAACACTAGGACTCCTGGTGCACCGATTTTAATGCTCACCTCGGAAAGCTGGCCTGGGGAAGATATCTGCGCCTCATTTCTGAGCAGCTGTGTGTTCCGTATTTATAAACAAACTCTCTTCCCCCCCTGTCTCCCACCCTGTTTCCCAGTGGCCGTTCCTGCAGCCGCGCCCCCAGTGTGCCAGCCCAAGGGCGCCACTAACGGGCCTTACCCGGCCCCACGCCTGTCCATCTCCTCCCGCGCCACGGTTGTAGCCAGGATGGAAGGCGCCTCCCCAGGGGGCCTGCAGACCGTCATGAAGTGGAAAACCGTGGTCGCCATCTTTGTGGTTGTGGTGGTCTACCTTGTCACGGGCGGTCTCGTCTTCCGGGCATTGGAGCAGCCTTTTGAGAGCAGCCAGAAGAATACCATCGCCTTGGAGAAGGCAGAATTCCTGAGGGATCATGTCTGTGTGAGCCCACAGGAGCTGGAGACACTGATCCAGGTGAGCAGGGAGCGAGCCGACTGTAGAACGACCTGTGGGGGCAGAGGACCGCATGGATGTTGTCTTTCTGGTTCTGGGGTTATACACCTTTGGTTATGATGCTCCCGCTGGTCAGAGAGGACCTCTCTGGGGAGGTGACATTTGAGCTGAGACCTCCAAGGAGCCAGAGAGTGAGGCATGTGATGATGCGGGGGCAGAAGGGCCACCCGTGCAATGGCCCCCATGTCGGAGCAGGCTGTGATCTGCATTACCTGCTTTGGATGTGGTGGCCAGAGGCAACCGCGGGCGAAAGGGCTGTGGAATTTCAGATTCAAGTCTGCCTATGCAGGCTGCTGAGCTTCCTGGTCCCGAGGTCTGTGTGAGACACGGGGGAGGGAGGGCGCCCTAGAAGCCAAAGGAAGAAGGAATTTTATTTTATTTTATTTTATTTTATTTTGAAAATGAAATATTTATTAAAAATTTTTATTAAAACTATTAAAAAATTTTATTGAATTTATTGGGATGACATTGGTTAATAAAATTATATAGCTTTCAGATGTACAAGTCTGTAATACATCATCTGTACACTGTGTTGTGTGTTTATCACTGCAAGTCAAGGCTCCTTCCATCACCATTTATTCCCCCTTCACCCTCTTCTACCTCCCCCACCGCCTTTCCCTCTGGTAATCACCATGCTATTGTCTGTCTTCATGAGGCCTTTTTTTTCTTGATCGCTTCACCTTTTTGACCCAGTCCCACACCTTTCCCCTCTGACAGCTGTCAGTCTGCTCTCTGTGAGGCTGTTTCTATGTAGCTTGTTAGTTCATTTTGTTCATTAGATTCCACATATGAGTGAGATCACATAGCACTTGTCTTTCTCTGACCTGCCTATTTCCCTTAGCATAATATTCTCCGGGTCCATCCGTGCTGTCGTAAAGGGTAATATTTTCTTCTTATCTTACCATTGTGTAAATGTACCACAGATTTTTTTTTTATCTACTCACTTACTGATGGGCACTTGGGCTGCTTCCAAATTTTGGTGATTGTAAATAACGCTGCAATGAACACACATGTTCTAAGAAAGAAGGGGCACGTACAGTCTAAGAAAGAAGGAATTTTAAAGAAGCTGGGATATGTTCATCTGCCAAGGTCAATGAGGGTGGAGTGGAGAAAAGGCCACCAGACGCGGGATGAGGAGGCTGTTGGTGATGTGGGACAGCCATTTGGTGCGTTTATGGGGATGAAATGATGATAGCAGTAACAGTAACCATCAAGCTTGCTCTTTCTGAGCACTGACTGTGTGCTGCGGCCCTTGCATAACCTGGATATTAAGGAGAAAAGATCCATAAAGAACGGAGGCAGAGGCAGAGAACGTGGGCTACCACACAGAGAAGCACGGCAACCAGAGCCGAGGGGGGAGCTGGCCTGGGCAGAGGTGAACGGGGCTGGGGAGGGCTGTGGGAAGGCAGAGCCCTCTGAGGTGGTGTGATGGGAGGAGTCTTAAGAAGTCTGCGGAGAGAGGACTCAGTCCTGGGTGGAAGGAAGGGAAGCGGCTGGGAGCCCAGCTGGACGGCTTCCCCTTGGAAGTATGGGAGGATGCGTCTGAGGCTGGAGTTTGACTTCCTGTCCCACACACCCTCCTGAACGATGAAGAGCTGTTCCTGGAGAGGGCTGCTGATATTATGGAGGCAAGGAAAAGTCTCCTCTTTCTGGAGGTTCTGAAGTTTGGAAGGCAGAGGGATGGAAAAGACGGTTTCCTTGATTCCTTCTGGCTCTGGGATTAGCTGCATAAATTCTAATGGCCATTACAAGCCAGGATGCTGTAGGACTGCAAATCTAGGCTGGCTTATTGTTTACATATTTCAGATTGCATGGATAGCGTAGGGGTATTCCGAGGCTACTTGTGACCTGGCACTTTCATAGTAATCGTATTCTTTTAAATTAGTTTTTATAATCTAAGTTGACTCTTAAATAAATAAAAATACACATTCCCCCCACCCTGGGAATAAATATGATTTATACCTATGTCCTACAGTTTTTTTTAAAATAAAACTTAAAAAAAAAAAGATTGTATTTATTCATTGTTAGAGAGAGGGGAAGGACGGGAGTAAGGGAGGGAGAGAAATATTGATTGGTTGCTTCTTGCATGTGCCCCAACTGGGGGACCAAACCCACAACTCATGCGCCCCGACCAGGAATCAAACCAGTGACCTTTCACTTTGCAGGATGATGCCCAACCCACTGAGCCACACCAGGCAGGGCAAAAAAATAAAACTTTTAAATGCTGACATTCAAGAGCAATGTTTCATATCACTCTTTCTTGGATGGTCTTACCTTTTTTTTTTCTTTCATGCGAAATGCTACCAAATGTAGCGATGACAGTATTGGACTAATCTGTGCCAAATTTAAGGCCTGGAATGCCATCGAGAATGGAGGGAGTAATTTAGAGTAATTTATACCAAGAGTACAATTGCATTTACACATGTTGTTGTGAGATGTGGTAAGATCCGTTTTTATTTAGTTACAATACATATACTAACCTAAAAGGTGGTCTGAATTGAGTCTACCTTTATACTTGAATTTTACATCCTTAGACAGCGATACCTTGAGGAAAAGAATTATGTCTTATCTTCATGTCCATGTGTAGCCTATGCATTTGCTTTGTATTTAATTACTACCCAATAGAGAAATGCTTTTGGAACGAGGTATCAAAACCAGATGTATAACAAACATTGGTGACACCATGAGATATCTTAGCTTATTCATGCATTTGTTTATTATTTCAGTATTAAGTTTTTGGCTCTCTCCTGTAAGAAAGGACTCAGAGGCCAGAGTGGAGAGTGGGATGGAGGAGTAGAGAGGTTCTAACTCTGGTGCCGCATTAAGACCCACCCCAGGTTTTGAGCTGAGGGGTTTGTCTGTAAAATCAGGTGTGCGTATGTGTGTGTCCTTAAGATCATTTTTATAACAACTTAAAGAACTACCTTTTATTAGGCACTTGTTATGAGTTAGGCACCTTATACCCCTTCTGTCATTTAATCCTTCCAACCACCTTCTAAGTTGGTATAATGACCATTTCACAGATGAGGAAAGTGATGCTAAAAGAGGTTGAATAACATTACAAATTGTCATTGTGGCAGAGCTGGGATTCAAAGTGACGTCTGTCTGATTCCTGCCTTGCCTGGTGAGTCGACAAGCCCTTAAGTAGATCTTGCTTTATCATAAGCTCCAGTCTTTCTTAAACATGTGCTTTAAGTATAACACTTTCTAGAATTTTAGCAGCATCAAGAACCATTGGAGTTCTTTGCTGTATAACAGAAACATTTCTCTGTTTCTTCCCTCTGTACTCACTGAGTCTCAGTCCTGGCCTGGGGTACTTGAAGATCTCCATCTACTGTGATTGAAGGATTTATACTCGTGTTTGTTTCCAGTGTGTGTAGGCTAAGTAGGTTTAAATGCTGAACCTGTGTCAGTCAAGAATCAAACATCATGGTTTGCCCTTCGGCTCACTGATTCCTTCGTAGGATGAAAATGTCCACACTTTCAGAGCAGGCGGCGTGTCGTTCCTCGTGCTGTTCCTCTGAGCATCACCGTATGTAGTGCTCATAAGAAACACAGTATTTGGGAGGCTTTTCAGTGTGGTGTTTTCTAAGCTAGGAAATAATATTACTGCATCTCTTAAGGGTGTGAAAGGAGTGACCGATAGGTAAAAAAATAGATTGATGATATTTATCTGGTAATACCGGGACTTTTGTCTGGATTGAGTGACCCCATCATAAAATTAAGCTGGAAAGTGCAACTAATGTTATTAATAACAAAAACAAAGTATGCAAAGCAGCATAACACCCATGAAATGCTTGGATAGCTTAGAAGAGAAAGTATAACACTTTCTCTTCTAGCTGGGGAGGAGTTTTCCAATGACTTAAACTATGTTATGGGGTACCATGGGACTCTGAAGGAGACCAACAGGTCATTGTCCCTGAAAGGTGAAGAAAGGTGGGTTGCTGTAGTGGGGGAGACCATCTCATTCATTCAAATGTTCATCCTTTCAGTCATTTATTCATGTGTTTTTTTAAATTGCAATTGAGCTCCTCTTGTAACAAGTGAAATACTAGGTGTTGGGGATGGAAAAGAGAATAAGACACACATTGAGCAAGTTACTAACCTGTCTGTAATCCAGTTTATTAATAAAATGTGCCTAAAATCTCGCACGCTTAGGTGTCAAGAGGATTAAATTCTGTAACTCACGCATAGAGCTTTGAACTGTGCTTGATACCTCTTCAAAAAATGATAGTGATTGCTGCTATTTATATTATTATTCAGTTTGCTCAGACTTTCAAGCAGAGGTTCTTAACGGGGACAGGGTTTGCCTCCATGGGCTGTCTGACAACAACGTCTGGGGACACTTTTGGTTGTCCTGACTGGGAAAGTGCTTCAGACGTCTCGTTGGTAGAGGCCAATGATGCTGTTAAACATCCTACAATGCAGGCATAGTCCCGCATCACAAAGAACTATCCAGTCTAACATTTCAATAGAGTGAGAAGTTCCGGAGAAAGAGACATGCAAATTAATGATTAGAATTCATTGCATGGAGCTATTTGAAGTATGTGAAAAAAAAAAAAAAAATGGAGCCCCAGTTAGGCAAATAGGGTAAATTGTGTGGCTATTTTTCTCCTATGATGATAGTCTTTTGTACTCATTTACAGATGAAGAAAATGAGGCAGTGGGAGGTGAAGTTACATGCTCAAGGTCACTGGGTCAGCAATGGAGGATCCAGGATTCACTCTTTGGCAGTATCTGAACTCGTATCCCAAGCTCATAACCACCACGCCTTCCAACAGAAATGTAGAATATGGGCAGGGGTCATTCGGTAGGCCATGGTGAAGGGCATCCCAAGAGCACGCATGGCCCTATGAAGGATCAGCAAGTGGCTTGGGGCGGAGAGGCATGGGAAGTGGTGGTAGGGTGGCTGGGGAAGGGGTGGGGGCTGAATTTGGGAGGTGCCTAGAGAGATTTGCTGA